ATTAACTGAAAGCGTTAGCCGCTAATATTAACGGTTAACGCTCTTTGCTAACGTTAATTTTGAATTAACGTAAACTTATCACCCCAGGGTTGAACCATTTTACTTAACGTGAGTGAATTAACGGCGTTAATTAACTCGCACTAAGTTAAATGGTCCACCCCTACTCTCAACTTACAAATTTAGTTTCCCGAAAATGCCAGTTGTTAGTGATGAAATGATAAAAATATCGGATAGGTCAATTTTTTACAGATGGAAACTTTCGATGAAAATATTAAGACTTTTTCTAAGCCAAAATTTAATCTGCCAAACTTTTGAGAACATCATTCGATGCATTTTGATGTACTCTTTTAAATGAGACTAATTTCAATGGATTCGAGCTCGCTGATCCGACTAGGTTGCCCAAAATGCGCGGGCACGCTTTCGGAAAATCAAATATGGTGCCAATCAAAAATTATTCCTGGATGTAGTACTTTTATGACTATCAAAAGTTAGCCCGTAATCGATAGTATCTTAGGTGAAAAAATCTCAGCAATAACTATTATAACTTGGGAGAAAATGAAAATATACTGAAAAGTACTGCAATAAAAAAAACGTCTAATTTTGATCGAGTACTCATACTTGCAAGTCGTATATCTCGAGAACGACTCATCCGTTTGAGCTGAAATTTTAGGCTTATTCCTAGCATGAATGTAGGTATCTACTGAAAAAACATCAGCTAAATCCGTGAGATCGATTGAGCAAGGCGTCATACAAAACGGTCGTGGCTTACGTGCAATGCCTCTTAAGTTGGTGCGCCGATAATATATGCTGTCCAGCTGGTCAGTAGTGCCATAACTATGGTCATTTCTGTCCTAAATATGGTTGTTTGCCCAAGAATAGTGGCGATTTGTACTATAGAAATGAGTATCTATGCCATGGAAATTGTTGTTTGTGCGACGAAAATGGTCATTTCTGCTACAGAAATGATCATATTGAGCGATAAAAATGGTCGTTTGTGCCCTGATAATGATCATTTGTGCTAGAAAAATGTGCATTTGTGCTAGAAAAATGTGCATTTGTGCGACGCAAATCGTTATTTGTGCCACAGAAATAGTCATTTGTGCCCGTGTTACAGACAGGCAGACAGAGGTGAATTACCGTTTCCAGACCCTATACTTTCAGTCTAGGAAACACCCACACCCACACCCCAATAATACCTTGTTCCAACGGTGTAGCTGATTTCATGGACACCATCATATGAATTGGTAGTGTGCTTTCGAGGATCGCCACACCGAACAGTGTCATCGTACTTGTCCCTAAAATGCATTTCAAACAAGACGATAGGATTATTATCCATGATACTTACCAATAGCTATACAAATCAACGGATCTCGGATCAAAGTAAACATGGATGAAGTCCTACGAGTGCTAGTATATTCCACTAATTTTTCTGTTTCTGAATCCCGTTTTGTTGAGATAATACTCAAGCGAAGCACTTTAGCAAACAAACACACACATATATATAATTACACCATAGACAATAAATGATTACACATAAATCGACACTTACATCCATCGATAAGAGCAACTGCGGCAAGGATTAGAAACGGAACTATTTTTCCAAAGTGATGATACAATATACCGCCAAATACTGGTCCCACTAAACAACTCATAGGAGAATATCAATAGCAAATAAATCAGATGAGAGATATTTTATTTACCAGCGACACCCAGCGACACACCACTTATAGCATGAGCGATCATTTTACCTCGTTTCTTATCGTCGGGAAACTTCTCTGACAACATACTAATACTTTCAATTCAGCATTTCGATTAAAAAGGAATCGACAAAGTCACATTTTTCTAACCTGAAATGGCCGAAAATGATGAACCAATACCTTGAATTGCACGCGAAGTAAATAACAGCCAATAGGTATCAGCAAAGGTAAGCACTGGAGAAATGTATTAGAAGGTAAATTTTAAAGAAAATATTCTAAGAAATTTCTTTATTATTATCTTTTTAATTAGACGTCGTGAAAGTCAATCAAAAGTATTAGTTAAACTTATTGATCGTGGCGATGAAATTATTGTTCATACATCAGAATTATTACAAATTGATAATAAATTTTCTACAATATCAGCATTTGTCCAACCATTTCGTTTACATTATTGTGATGAATCAGTAAGTCAAAATGAAAATAATTATTTTATACATTTATTAAATGAAATTATTTCTTTTTATAAAGCAAAATTCAGCTAATGTAACTCGTCAATTGAAAAATTTATTATTTAATCAATCGGTTTATATTACTCGACAAGGATCAATGATTAATGGATCTTATCCTGTTGAAGTTATTTTATCTAATCAACAATCACTTAATAAAATGATTCTTCAGCAATAAAAACTTATAATATAGTTTCTGCTCTTCATATTTATCTTATTGAGTTATTTCTTTTGATAAATAAAGATATTTCTCCACTATTAGATCTTTTGTATTTTTATTTTTTAATGCGTTCTTTGTTGATATTTTTTAAATTGTATACGATTGGAATGAATATTAATATTGATGAGATGATAGAGCGATTTTTTTTTATGATGATACTATATCGATTGACTAAGAATAAAGCAAATGATAGTTTGATTTTTTGCCACTCAAGCCTTTCTTTTGTTTTTCTATGCTTTTGTTTAAATCAAATAGCTATGAGTCAAAAGGATTTAAAAAACAGCAAGTACACACAATAACTACTAGTAACAAAAAAGAACAGAAAATTTCACCATCGATATTATGAGTATTTCAATGAAAAGTGAACATGAATAAGAATGATTGTGCTGAAATTATTCGAGCAGTCTTATATCTGAAGTGTATTTGTAAAAGATACAGATATAAAGAGAACTGAATGATAGCGAAAATTGGTACCAAGTTTGTCTGAATTGTATTTGTCACACGAAATATAATAGATTTCAACCCGTTCATTTATTTTGAAATGTTTTCAAATCTTGATCCATCTGATAGGTGAACAAGAACAGAAAAAATATTTAGTGCATCATTGGTTTGAGTACCTCCTAGCTGAGTTGTGCGCCATCAGAATGTCGCTAACTGCACAAACGTTTTTGTACAAACACAAAATAGTCGTTGAATTATTATTTTATGTAGTTTTCATAAACCAAAGAGAGAAAATTCCAGCTCCGGGATTCAACTCAGATACAATTATGCATATTGTTCTTCGAGAAAAACTAAAATCGAATTAAAAAAGGCTTGAGTCAGGTGAAGCCAATGATACGTATTTCGAGTTTTATTATGAAAAAAAATACTAAAAATGTGTTAAACAAACAACTAACATTACTAGTATAAGCTTTCGGTAAATAAGCATACCTCCTTAATTGTGTAATATTTACTATAAATAAAGAAGAATCGCCAAACATTATAATTTAATCAATACCTCTTACTTCTAATTCCAACCATTAAAAAATGCATGGAATTAAAAATATTTATCCTTTCACACTACGATAAACTGACTGCAATCTTTTAAATTTGTGAATTTTGAACTTTTAAGTTCAATTTTGCCTGAAATTCAAGTTTTTACGACACATACCTATTAGTATTTACTAGGATTATATGCAATGTATTGATCTAAAGAATGTATCTGAGAATAAGCTGAAAACGGTTTCAAAAGTCACTTGCCATTTTATCGATACGTCGGAAACATTTTCTATTCAATGCACTTATTTCTCATGAATACAAAAAGGATTTTTATGCAGCTTTCTGTTTAAAACTACAAGACACATTGCGCATTTTTCAACAAATTTTAGAAAACAAGACAATCTTTTTAATTATCATATTTATTTCTACCAAGCTGTCTAGGCTACTGACTGAGCTAAGAGAACAGCTTTTTCGTACTTCAGGAGTAAACAAGGATAAACGAACTACGTAGATTCTAGGCCATTTTCGAGATAATCTTGGCTCATCGTACTGCGTCGAAGAAATTTGATGCTGTTAAGAAATTTATATCTCACCCCAACAACAGGGTAGCCTTCTGGGGGAGACCAGCCACACTTCAATAGAAATGTATTCACCTGTGGAAATGCCTGAGAAGACACGAATGTTAAGAAATAGAGTTGATAATTTCACACAGATCTTGTAAAAGAACCGACCGTATGGAACAGTTCCTGAAAAAGAATTGGTCCTATGAGACAGTTTCAGAAAAAGAGCTGATCTTACGAGACAGTTCCTGACAAAAAAACTATGAACGGTCCTAGGCCTAATCTCTGAATTACACATGGATAGTCCTGTTGCCATTTGATAACTGAGAATATTCTATCATAAATTCTATAAGAAATTGTAATGATTATCCTTGGATTCCAAGAAATATGTTTTTGTGTAAAAAAATCCTTTTTGTTTTTCAGACACATGCAGCAAATTATCTTCGGCAATTATAACATACAAGATATTTGTTTGGCTTATCCCAGTTCGGACAAAACGATCAGTAAACGGTCGTAAACGATCTTGATACGGTGAAATACGATAGTATTCACGATGATCGTATACGAAGCACCGCAAACGGTATCGTAACGGGCGCCGTTAAACGGTACGTATTTTTGTCGTATCTGTAGAATGCTGTCAGCAGACGCAAAAGAACACAATTCAACGGCAACAACGTTGTTCCTTAATTTCTGCATGAAAACTACCAAAACAATTCTACAGTTCCTAAGAAATCGACTTCAATAAGCAATATAACATAAATCCTCGATTGTGGCGCCCCTATAGAAAATTGTTTCAATATAAAAATCTGCTTCGAATAAGATTTTGATACGGTTTGAAACACAGTTTAGAGGGTTTTTACGGAGTTTTAATCGATTTTTTATTTGCCTTTTTTCTATTGATCCGTTCGAAACAATGATATGTAGAAAATTCAAAAACATTTATAAGTTTGAAGAAGATATTCATTTGAATATTTCCAACTTCTAGTATCTTTACTTTTCGTGAGTACGCAAGAGACTTTAGGAGCATGATGACATTATCGACCTCTCTTTTCATTTAGAAAAACATAATGCCAAGTTTTTGTTAAGACTTTTTCGACAGGAAAATGTTTGTTCTTTCTATTTTTTGATTTATTATGCTTTGAAAAATTTATGAAATTCTTTTGTATATTTGTACCTCTCGTTGCTTACTATTTCGACTTCCCATGTAACTGGTCCGATCATGGAAAATAGGTGAAAGTTTAAATAAAATAAATGTTTCTTCTTTTTTGTTTTAGTTTTTCTAATTAAAAAATGCTTTTTTAAAACGAAGAAAAAAGGAATTCGGATATTGTAGTAGCTTATAGGCTTCGCCAGTATACAACAGCAAGTTAATATGACGATTAAGCTGAAAATAAACTACCTATTTATGGCCGTAAATGAATCAAAATTCGGTCCGTAAACGACTACCATAACTTTCGTAATCGGCCGTATACGGTACGGGCAAATACGGCGCCGTAACGGGCCGTATTTTCATCGTATACGGCCGTAAATATCCCGTATTCTTGTCGTTTACTGCCGTAAACGACACCGTAACGATATCCATTTTGACCGACCTGGGTATACTCTTCGTAATAATTGCATTATATACTGTATTAATTGGTTGTTGTACATGTTTTTCTGGCACCTTAGTTAATTCTATTAATGGTACATCAGATAGGAATATATCAATATCACAAGTTCAAAAAATGATTGACAATAAGTATAACTGCAGATAAAGAATTTTGTTTCCAGTGTTACCAAGTTCATTCTAAAACGTTTGATCTAATAAAAGACTTTATTAAACAAGAAAATGGTTATATAAAATATAATGAAATTTTACAGCCTGTGAAACTTTGTTTTAATGCTATCTCAATATTCAATTTTATTGTCGTTTACATTGTGTTTGATGGTCCAATGCTGATTAGCCTTATATCTTTATTATCAAGTTTACTGGTGTTTATTTCAATGTTCCTAGAAAATAAAACTTACGTTCTTACTTTTGAAGCAAGCGTTCTATTGGTTGCAGTTTTTATATGGGCAAATTCTTTATATGTTATTATAGTCTGCATAATTGAAGTGGATAGAAAAAAGCAGAATAAGAGCATATGAAATAATGATTATGATCTATTTGCAACTATTGAATAATCTTAGAGATTCCAATGTGACGAAATGAGGACGGTAATAAGATCAAAATCGATTATAATCTTTTGTCATAATGTTTTTTTTTGTCAGATTCCATAGAAAGAATGAATAATTTTATTCTTTTTAATTATATGAACTATGTTTTTCTTGTATTTTTTCTTAATGTGGATTTATTTATAGATTAGATAGTATTTCATCATAATGTCTTCATATTCGGATGCTCTAAATGAGTCAAACGATTAGAGTCCGCCAAGTCCGGGCCGGTTCCGGGTCCAATTGAAAATATTTTACTGATTGAGAGCGGATGCAACGAGAAAATTTCATACAAAAAATAATTTTGATCATTAATTTCAATGTTTCATCTTTTTATTAAAAAGCATCGAATTTACTTATGAAAAGTGTACGAAAATAAAAAACATTTCTCGACTATAATATTTAAACCTAATTTACATCAAAACTATAAATTCGAAAATATATTATCTTGTTTTTTACTGTCATGCATATGTTCAATATTATATAAAACATCATCATCGTCATCATTTGGTTTCATTCTTTTTGATGTTGGTGATGAAGTAGCACTGCCTACATCTTCAATGATTACGACCGATTCACCACCAGGTATAGACAGTTCTTGCTTTGACTGTTCTTCATTCCTATTTGAGAATACATCCTATTCCGCAATGTTGAACATTCCGGAACCAATTCCATCTAATTCCCGGAATCCCGTTTATCCCTTCCGATTCAATTTCGGAATTACACAGAATTCAAACGGATTCCGCCTAATTCCCAACGGTTCTGGAATTCAGCGCACTTACACTAACATCCACACCCACACCCAAGTCGACGAAGAGAATATGTGAGGTGGAGTATCAAATAATAGTCGAACGGTTTTTATATGATAATTCATGAAATACTAAATGAGTTAATTTCATAAACGCAGTAAAAATATGTTTGCATATGTTTGCCTTTGTAAACAGATCACTTCGATTGGGGTCAATTGCAATAATAAGTGTTGTTATTTGATTTTTAAACATGTTCGATGAAAGATGTTCATCTAAACAAATCATGAGATGCTTAGTTCGAATTCGAATATAAATGGACACCAACTGTATGGTATCAATTCGAAAATAAATGATAGAAATAGATTCAGTTTTAGTTTTATATTTAGTTTAAGATGGAGTGGGTGTGGGTTGAGGGGGAATAAGGGGTAACTGTAGGTGGTGGTGCGACTGAGGGGGTGGGTAGGAGGGGTATCCGGGATACTTCAAATGTGAGTGTGGGTGATGGATAGCATGGAGGAGTGCTCAAATGTGGGTGCAAGTGAAGGGTATATATGAATTCATATGTCACATATATCGGAAAGTTAAACTAAAATTAAATCTATTCCTAGGTTTAGTTTTAGTTTAACTTTTTCTTTTCTCCATTTATATTCGAACTCGAATTAGGCAGCTACTCTGGGTTCCCGAAAATTCGAAAAATTGCAGGCACTCGCTGGGAATTCATAAAGTAATTCTGGACTAGGGATTCTATTGATCGGTTGAAAACCAAACCGGACCGATTAAATTTCTAAGAAGTCCGAGCCAAACCGGTCCCATCGCTATTAGCTATCTCCGATAAACAAATTATTCAATAAATTTATTAAACTATAATGAACATTATTTTTTAAATATTGCTTTACGCTTACTAAGAGTATATCCAATTTTCTCTTTCTTTACATTAATTTGTATCAATGATTTGTTTTCTGTCTTTTACAACTTCATAGTCAAATATGAATCATAAAAGTAATTTAATATATTGAACTGCAATAAATGAAAACGATTCTATTGAGATTTTCTTACCGGTAAAAAGACTTCTAGATGTTTCTCGTTCAACATTATATAGGCCAAGGCCATTTAAATTCGGATAATCGGTAGAATGTAAAATCTGTTTCATAGATGATGATTCAAGATCAAGCCATTTAATTTTCATGGAAATTTCAGGTAAAATTTGTAGGCAAACTCGATCAAATATGACATTTGAAGAAAATTTATTGATAAATTCTTTGGGCGACCATTTGACAAAGGTCAAATGACTTGTACATGTTGGATCACGTATAATTTCATTCAGTCGTTCATTGACGCCTTGCAAAGAATACAATACTTCAAGATTGTCCAACTTTTTCAAAATAATCAGAAGAATTTCATCGGGCAAATCATTTAATTCGACGCATGAATATTCCATTGTTAACTTCGCTTATCTACTTATGTCACCTTGAAAAAGACAATATTTATACCCTCATTTGTTCCATTCGGACGAGTGTCGTCAGCAAGAACAAAAATAAATTGTTAATGATTCAATGAGTGTATAATTGGAAGAATGTTGCTATTTTTATCTGCTTTGTCTACTATCGTATATCATACAATAAAGAGCATGGTATTCAGTTGACCGTAAGAAAAAGTAGCGAACGAACCACTAACACAAACAAATGTGAAAACAAAATGTCGAAAACGAATGTAAGCGAAACAAGAATGGCGAATATATGACAATGTTGAAAAAATTCAATTGAAGACTTTCTACGAGTGAGTTGAAGATATTTTATGCATGTGGAAAATTAGAAAATGCGTAAGTCAATAGGATATAATGCTGTATGGCACGTGTCCCTTTTTTCGCAATGATTGTCCTTGACAATTTTTGCTGATCTCTCGTTCGCTTTTTATTTCTTTCGACTAATTTGATACATACGGATGAAGATAAAAGTCATCGATTTATTCAGGTATGATGATTTGTTGTTCTCCAGAAGTCTTTCCTAATGTTATGAATAATAATAATTTATAATTGTTTTTGTGTACTCCAAAAAAATGAGTACACTCTAGATTCGGTCAGTGTGTCCGGCCGTTAACACGATAACTTTTGAAAGCCTCATCCAATTGTCATGAAATTTTGTACACAGAATGATCTCATCAATATCTCAGTCGAGTTCGAAGATGAAAGCAATCTGTGAAGAAATGGCTGAGTTATCGAAAAAGTTGTCATTATTAACCAGACCATCCCTGAGGGGGGGTACAGGGATTTTTTCAAAAAAAAATTTTTTTTCTCAGAATTATTCAAAACATATATAAATCGACTCAGTTTTTGCAGTACACATAACAATCGGATACGAATCCGATGTTTCCTCATTTTTTTTATATAGAAGAGAATAAAGTAGATAATATGCGCCGCACACTCTATGATAAAGTTCCGTTTGAATATATAAACGCTGGCATTATTCCCGGGCGTAGACCATCTTAAGAAAAATCTGACACGTTGTAAGTATTTCATTTTACATTTTTCATTACTAGCATTCATTTTGAAAGATTTTGCTTGATTTATTTTTGGCATAGTCTATCGATTGGATTTGCCACAAAATTTAGTTGATAAACTTTTCTTTTTATATCATTAATTATTCTCGTTATGGCGAACTTTAAAAACCTGTCAATGAAAATTTAAGTAAAACATTCAAATGAAATTCTCATACTTCGACAAATGAACCATGAATAATGCATTCAAGATGTTTAAAACCATTGATCCCACTAAGTAGATGCATCTAATTTGATATAAAATCGACTTTCAAAGCTGAAACTAGTCGTTACAAGAAACAAATCAATACTTAATCTATTTAGACCGATTGCAACAGTATTTGCTGGTTGAGAAGTAGCTTGTGTAAAATATAAATAAATATACAACATTAAGTAGGTTTGAATGTTGATTAATTTATTGTAATTCCTCGATGAATGCTATGAAAAAAATAATAATCAAACGAAATAGTAGTTGTTTTTCTCACGTTTTTAATAGAAAAAAATGAAATGAAATGATTGATGGATGTTCAGGTAGCAAGATTCATTCAGTTGTACTTTTCCTTCTTGGTTCATGTAGCAAGACTAGCAAAGCAGAAACTTTAAATGAATGGAAAGAAAATTCTTTCATATAGAATAACCAAGCGAAACACCAATGATGGGCTTCAGTTTAGAAGAAGACAAACTCAACAGAAAGAAAAACGACAAAAAAATACAGTTTGTTCAAACTGAAGAGAGAAAAAATGGATTATCAGATCAATAATAACGTAAATGTTGTTCATTATCATCGTTAAGATTTACTGGTGATACTCGAGAATCATTTAATTGTGAAAAAATGATTGATTAATTCATGAATATGGTTGCTGTTGAAGATGAGGATCATTGCCACATGATCCATGATAATGTGTTGTACGTGCTTGAATTTCGCCTGCTTGTTCGCCGGGATATCGATATTGCCCAGGACGATGTTTCCGGCCTCCGGAAATGAGCGGACCCTGGAAGCAAGATTTCGGGACGGATTTTTCCGGTGATTTCCGATGATTTCCGGCGGAAACCAACAGGAACTTGGCGGAATTTACAGGAAAAACCCGTAAATTTCCCGATCCGGAATACTGCTTCAGTGAAATCGCGGGAATGCGCGGGAACTGGTCGTTTCCCGGGCCGGTTGCTTCGACCTGGGTGAATATCTTCCTGTTGCATTGATATCGTCGTTGGCGCATATATATTATTAATTCGGCCATCATTTGATTGTGTTGGATGATAAGGTTGTGCTCCCATACAAAAAAGTTGATTCATCGCTGAGCAACAAATCATAGATGCTTGATGATGACCTGGTGATGATGCAATCAATGGATTCGTACCATACGTATTAACATAATCAGATCTAGATGAATTATGAAGATGTTCCATATGGTGCGATGATAAAGCATTATAGTATGAAGGTATAGGATGATCAAAATTCACGTTCTAAGCAATAAGAAAAGTTCATAATTGATTGTGAGAAAAACAACATTACTTGAAACTGCATAGGATATTTTGATAGATTCATTGATTCATTGATTCTGAACTGCCTACATCATTAAATGATTGTCGAGAACCAGGATTGTAGAATATATCATTTGAAAAATCATATGATGGAAAGTTATTTGGTATCTGAAAAGCAGTATTTAATGGTGGTGCTATATTTGGTGTTGAATTTTGTTGATTATCATCTGATGATGATGCAGCCGATGGAAAATTTGTTTCTAACATGTCGATTGTTGAATTCAAAAATTCATACAATGTGTCGTTCAAGATGGATAAATTTTTAAAGCTATAAAAGACAAATGTTTATTAATATTTCCATGGAATTTTGTTGAAAATAATATCTTACTTCAACATCTGATTACATCTTTCAATATAATTAGCTAGAACAAATTCAATTTTTTCGACAAGACCACTTGTATGCTGAAATTTGTAAAAATAATTTTTGTTAGAATTCATTCAAAACATATTTTCCTTACGGAAGCCATCATACAAAATTTATCTTGCTTTTTTGTCATTTTTATTTGAATTGTGTGTGACTTAATATTATGATCCATTGAATAGATATTAACATTGCCGCGTGCAAGTTGAAGGATATTCATTTTTATCTGTGAAAAAAGCAAAAGATATAATTTCAAAGCAAAACAATGCATTTTGTTACCTCATATTTACGAAGATGATGAACAATGGCATAATATACGTAAATTACCATATAATCAAATTCATTTCGAATGTTTTCTTTATTGTTTTTCAACAGTTCAGTAAAAATTTCATCCATTGTAATATGTTTGAATCTAGAAATAAAAATATGATTAATAAACAAGAAAATAAACTAATGTCTTATTGCTAAATCATTTTTTCTAACGCCGTTTTCGTTTTTATTTTGAACAATACCACTCCATCGACGGATATATACATAGAATAAAGTTTAGTTATATATTTGTTTATTCTTACTAAGACTAAAATTCTTGCGTTCTTTTCTAACTGTCCCTCTTTTATTTTTAGATTTTCTAAACAAATAATAGCCGTATTGTTGTAAAACAAACAACGTGTTTTCACTTTTCATTCTCAAGAAACAAGTTGCTTTAATAAATTCAATATTTTTTCTTGCAAGCCGTTCATAAGTGTTTATTATCAGTAAAAAGAGATATCCCCAGGTCGAAAAATCCCACACCGAATCCGATAGGAACCTGATACTATCCTACCATCCGACAGAATCTTATAGGATTCCGGGTCAAGGAATTGACGTCGGAACCACTTGTCGGAACCCATTGGACTTCCGATGACATCCAATGGTGTTTCTTTGGAATGCATAGGAATCCGACACTGAGTATCCAACTTTGAATCCGGAACCCGGAATCCGACGATAGTTCTATAGGATCCGACAAAATCTGATAGGATCTTACCGGATGCGAGTCGGATCGGATGGGTTCCGATTGGTTCCCACTGTTGGATTGCTCGACCTGGGTTTGTTTGAAACTTTAGCAAGCAGAGAATCTTCTTATTTGAAATAAAGCTGTTAGGATAGAAACAACAACTTTTAATTACTTCGAGCAATTATTAGAACCACATGTCGCATATTTTTTGTCATTATCGCCGGTATACCGCGGTAGTCATAATAGCCTGCTCTAGTCAAACTTTTTTTTGCAAGCGCATGCAATTCTTGACTTTCTTGCTCAAGAAAGTCAAGAACTATGAACGCATCTTGAGGCAAGACATGAGGCCTTTTTTCAACCTAATGCGCTTGGCATTTGTATTCATGTACTTGAATTCCTATTCATGTACTTGAATTTTTATTCAAGCATTTTTGTTTCTCACCCAAGCGCATGAATTACGCATGTGCAACAGAAAATATATAATTTTTTTCCATATATCAGTCATTCACTTGATTAGATGTCACTGACCGTCAACTTCTTAACGTTGACAATGCATAAGTAAACACCAATGAAAAGATGAATTCTATTATTTGTTTGGTTGAAACAAACGTTATATATACGACGGACTGGTCAAAAGCAATAGAAAGAACTTATTCGCATTATTAGAGGAGAAAAAAAGTTGTTTAGTCAAAAAGAAATCTAAAAATGAACAATGTAAACTTCCGCAGTGCTTGAAAAACCGTGTTTTTTATTCGAAGTTTCTGTTACTATTGTTAATTTTTGCATATTTTCTTTTTATTTCAGATGTCTCAAAGAGCTCCAAAACGACGTTTACACGTTGATATAAAGCGAAGATGGCGTTCACGTAAACAGGAAAATAAGATTAACACATTTTTGGATTCAGTATGTATCAAGTAA